ACAGCGGCCTCTACAGGTTTCCCCCAACCCCGAGAGAGCAGACGCTGAGCCCAGCTCCTGAGGCTGTTCAGGGGCACAAAATCAGGAGCAGGGGGAGGATGTTCAGGGACACAAAATCAGGAGCAGGGGCAGCAGCAATGACCCGGTGAAGCCCACGGCTGCCAGGTGGGAAGTGGCCGGTATTAGGGGCATGGGCTCCTCTCCTTGTCAGGAGAGACGGGAGGCTGGCGCCCAGCAGCCAGGGGTGTGGCGGTGTTCAGCACCAGGACAGGATCTCACTGGGGACAGAGTGGGGACAGGGAGGGCTGCCTGAGGATGGGAGGCAGCTCCTGTGGGGGAAGCAGCACAGCAGGGTGGAAACGGCACAGCTGTTAAGGTGGACCCCAGCCCTGCCTCTGCGTGTGACCCTGAGCCAGCTTCCTAACTCCCCTGGGCCTCAGTCTCCTCCAGCTTAAGTGCCGAAAGAAATAGCCAAGATCCGTAGAGTAATTAAAACGGTTTGTTCTCAACCTGAGTATGTGCGACCCTGGTCCTTTGTAACCTGGGAAAGTGGGGGCATTATTTAGTTCTGAGAGCAGGAGACAGATAAAACTGTGAATCAACATGTGGGGGTCTTCCCACTGGCCTGATCCAAGGAGGTGAACATCGACCCCTGCCACTAGGTTACAGATAGAATTAGAAATGCTGGGGCCAGCAGGTGGAATAGTGGTTAAAGTGCTGGCCTCCCACATGGCCAACAGGTTCAAGTCCCAGACCCGGCAGGTTGAAACTCATGCAGGGTGTATGTGCACGTGTGCCCCAAATCCCAAGACAAGAATGGAGGAGAAGGGATCTTGGCATGGCCATCCCCCCCGCCCGAGGGCCAAGGGGTGATCTTTGTCTCTCCAGTAAGCGCACACACTCTGTAGCAAAAATCTTTAAAAAAAAAAAAAGTACAAATCTTTGTTTCCAAAAGAGTCAGTGTCAGTACAAAAAGAATGTCTGAGTTTAACAGAGATAAGAAAGCTTTGCTGTTGGGACCAGCAGATGACATAGTGGTTACATCATTGGACTCCCACATGGCCCAGCCATGGTTCGAGTCCCGGACCCAGTGGTTTGAAACTCATGCCCGGTCTGTGTGCATGTGTGCCCAAGATCCTGGGAGGAGAGTGAAGAAGGGTGGTCATCCCCCCAGGGGGTGATTTCTCACTTTCTCTCTCCCCGTCTCTGTCTCTCTCTCCCCAATGAGCACACGTGCCCTAAGGCAAAAACCTCTTAGAAAGAAGAAAGCTTTGTTGTCTACGATGTGATGTGTCACCACATCCCAGGTCGGGTCTGGGGAGCATCCCCCGACCGTGGAGCACCGCTAGCTGCGTAGGAAGATGAACCCCCGCTCCCTCAGAGGGAGCAAGTGGCAGGGTAGTCAGAAGCCCATCCTCAATGGATGGAGGGTGTGCCCTCCCGGGGATAAGACCCCACACATAGACCAGGGAGGCGGATAGCAGGTGCCCGCCCCCGCCGTGTCCCCTGGGCTCTGGGCCCTCGCTCCCCTGTACTGTGCTTGGCTTCACGCGCTCCCTGCCCAGAGACGTAGGATGTACGGCTGCCTTCCGTTCTCCATGTGTGG